AACATTTAAATAAATGAATATAATACCATTATATATATCTGTGTGCAGACATATATATGACTGTGTAAATTAACTTAAAACAAATTTAATATAGAGATAATACGGCAATATTTTTGGCAAATTTAGCTACTTGAACTAAAAATGTCTTTTAAAACGAGAATAATCAAAGATAACAAATATGGTAACAAATTTATTTAATTAAGTCCAATTTACCACTACCTAAATTGTACAAGTTGTTATCTATTTTCACAACACTTACGATCATCAGGTCTTTATATGCAGCGCAATGTTCAGTATAGAGTTCTGTCCTTTTCAATCGCCTGAGATTTGAATTGCCGACAAATAATTGAAAAGAATCGCGATACTTTTACGTCATAGATAGATTATATTTATATTCACTACGAATTTAATTTTTAGTAAGATATGTATTTTAGGATAAAATATTAGTTTGCCAATTTTATTCATACTTCTACTATAAATGGAAATGATAAACTTTCATCAAGTGCAAATACAATTGTTAAACCATAGAATACAAAGCAGCATACGGTGGTTATTACTCTAACATTGCTCCAGTGTTTTCCGTAAATACTCCAAAAGGTGAACTCTAATTCCTGTAGGCCCCTTCAAATAATTAAGATAAATGAAATCATTGTCTTCGCCCTTCTGGTAGCCAAAAGCTAGAGTTTAATTATTTATAACTTCTATGAATAATGATATGCGGCCCACAGATTAAGGGCTAACAATAGTGTAGATGTAAAAGACAAATCGACTTACTCTTCTTTCTCTTATCACCGAAACTTCGGCAGCACTTTCGAGCTCTTTCATCTGAGGAGGGAGTGCTTCATTCTCATCTTTTGACTTCGTCTTACTGTCGCCACTGAAATACGTCCTAAAGTACTCCCAAGGGCTCAGGAAGATAGATGAAATCCCTGTAAAAGTGATGCTATCACCGGCCGACTCATGAGCCAAAGAGGCAACATTGTTGTTCTCGGGCGGATCCGTGACTCGAAGACTGAGCAGTGCATAATCGCAGCTGTCGGCAAACTCTCGCGCATTGCTCACCACAACAGTGGCATTGAAGAGCATGCCTAACCGAAAGTGAGTATTCGGACTGAAAGTGTAGTCCACGGACGACTCTGGGCCGACAAACACATCACCCGTGATCGGGTTGATCCGGAGCAAATGAGAAATCACTTTGCTGTAGGGCGCAATGAGTCCAACGGCCCTGCTACTGGGGCGGGTATCCAGGGCGTATACGAGGCGAGCACAGTCAGCCTCTTCGGAGCCGGACTGGTGACCAACGCCAAGTTGATCATCATCAGTAGCGGTCAGTCTCAGCAAGTGTTGCGAGCCCAATCGAAATATCACGCCTCTGTCAATAGTGGCTCTGAAAACGGCCTGAGTGAATCGAGGCGGAGAATGGGCTTCAAGACAGTAAGAGCGTGAAGCATAGCATAATTAAAGTTTGGTAACAACAGAAAAGATGAAATAAGAATTGACGCAGGTTTGGTGGTTTGGTAAGGGGCTGAAATGTTGTTTTAAAGATCTGTCAAATGATGCTATTGCTCAGAAAGGAAAGTAGTCACCGGATGACATACATCGCCAGGAGTATCCTTCTTAAACCCATCAAGCAGGCCTCTGAGAGTCCATTAACTAGTTTACTTTACAGATATTAAAAAAACTCGCAGAATATGTCTTATTAAAATCATATATAATGGCAATCAAATTTGCATATGTGGTAGGAGGTTGATGGTGGCACGAATGTGATTCATCAAACCTGGCTCAAGAGGCTTGGGTGTATTAACACAAGTGAGACGACCGCTTTCAGGCTGCTTTCACCAGCAATATTTGAGGAGCCTTAAAAGACTTGAATTTCAAGGCTTTCGTTAGGAATGTAGTAGAATAATGTTGTGGATACTTTCATTTTGTATGGCAGTTCATAATGAAGAGATTCGTTGGTTGATCCCACCAGATGACAGCACAGCTTATCCCCGTTCAGGCTAATGCATCGAAGAGATATCCTCCCTCGTTTAGGAAAGGGCAGGACTAAACTTTCGTCCAACATATGGCATACAACACCAGAACTGGAACCCCTGCATGCAAAGTTTGGTGCTACCTTGAAATTTCAGCAAAAATGAGTTCCATCTTTGATTTTGCAGGTCATATGGTGGACGAAAGTTTATATGAGCTGTATACACCCTATTTCGTCTAAAGTGAGGAAGATCTAGTAGTTAAATATTCTCACAAAGATATGAGTAGAGCTGACGTTTATAATGAATTTCACAGAGCCTTGCTTTTCCCAAAAGTTGTTCTCATCCAAGCTGAAGTGGACTGCAGTTTCGACCTCGCATCGGTCTTATCAACACCCCCAGCGTGAGTCGAACCATGACAGTGTAGCATGGGAGCTTGACACATTCACCACTCGGCCACGTTGCCACGAGTGCCATTGGGTCACAGGGCATATGTAAATTTTGAGGAAGGCCAGGCCTTTTCCCATATCACATACTTTGTTGGGATTGTCAATGAAGCTAACGTATTTTTGCTATAACAATCCAGGTAACAATCAGTTAACGTGTCAAGTTCACATGGTGCACTATCACGGTTCGACTCCCACTGGGGGTGCTGATAAGACCTATGCGAGGTCGAAACTGCAGCCCAATCTGGATGAGCATAAATTTGGGAAAGCAAGGCTATGGGAAATTCAACGGAAACGTGAGAAAATTCTACTAACACTCATCACCCAACAGACAATACGATATGGAAAAAATGCCTGGCCTTCCTTGAAATTCACATATGCCCTGTGACACAAAGGAGTTCGTGGAAATATGGCTTAATGGTTAAGGTTCCGAGATTTTATGCTTCATTTTCCTAGTTCGACTCCTTCTGGTGGTGTTGATAAAGCCTAGACGAGGCCGAAACTGCAATCCATCCTAAATGAGAATATCTTTTGGGAAGGTAAGTCTGGGTGAAATTTAATGAAAACTTCATGTCTGCCCATATACTTGTGGGAAAATTCAACTACCCGTCACCTTATCCTCCTAAACGAAATAGGCAGAATAGATTCTACTGTTTATAGATCCCCTTGCTCACTAGTACATTTACCCATTCCGTAGAGTTGTATACTCATAGCCCATCACAAAATCTGTCTTGTTTATTCAGATCCACTTTGAAATGCTCTTAGTTGAGACAGTTTACAGAAGCCCAATCAAGTTCCCCGCTGGTTTTACCTTCCTTCTGTGCTGGAATTGTTGATTCGACTTGACCATTTCAGTCGGCAAGCCACTCTAACAGTCATGCCCGAACCTTAGACACTACGTTCACGGTAGCCTCACTGAGCCCTAAATTGCAAATCTGCTAGTATTTATCTACTGCCAAAAGAGGATGCAACAATATTTTCCATTTTCTCAGTTCTACATGTATACAGGGTTGGTAAATATCATAGTCAGACAATGACTCTGCGGATCACCTCCATCGTTTAGGCTGTGTTCTGTTGGCTAAATGAATACCTATATCTAGAAGCCTCTAGCATCCTACAAGTGAAATTTTTATATATCTGCCTCTGGTTCTCTATTTATAAAGGAAATTTTCTTATTTATTTTCGAGGTAACTCGTTTTTCTGATTTTGAGTAATTCTTGAATAGAAGCGTAGTCCCCTTAGGTCGCTAAAAATTATTTAAAGTCATATAAAAGTTGTCTGATCTTGCGTTCGCGACTTGCTTTATTGTCAGGGAGACCTTGAAGAAAGCGTCTTGTCCGGATTAAATAGTATCCATGATAAGTTAAAGAGTCTAATCGTGGACTTAGTCCCTTTCGAGACGTTTCACTAACATCGTAGTCGGCATCGTCAATATCATTGCCAGTCTTAGCATAATAACTCGTCAAAAGAGACAAGTGAAGTCGATCCTTTGAACAACTGTCTGTTGAACGGTTGTGGTATCTTTATTCTGACAAGGTGTAGTGTGGTGCTGAGAATGACAAGGCTCACAAACAATACCGGCAAAACGTTTGGGAGTGTACCAAGTTCATGGGTTGAAGCTGGAATTTATCATGGATACTATGGACTTCAGGCAAGGTTCGTTCTTCCAGGTCTCCCTGACAATATGATCAAGTTTAGACCACGGCCATACAAAAGATTACACGAACTTAGTCTTCATACATTCGATTAAAGACTGATAGTTGTGTTTTCCGACAATAAGTTAGTATTCCTCAGAATACCGATGGATTTCACTTAGAAGTGGTCTCACCTCGTTTTCGCAACTTGGTCGTGTTGTCAGGGCGACTTAGTTGAACGCACCTTGTCCGAAGTCATCTGCTATAGTAGTTATCATAATACCCAGCGTCGGATTATGGACTTGGTACATTCCCAGACGTTTGCCAGCATTTTCAGTGAACCTTGCTATTCTCAGCACCAAGCAACAACTCGTCAAAAGACAAGTGAATCAATCCCTTGACCAATTTTCTGCTGAAACGGTGGTGCTATCAGTCCTCTTTCTGTCCTAGCCCATCCGTCTACTCCTTACCCTATTATCCCACTCCCACCCTTTTTACAAATTATGATTTTTTCAATTTGACTTATTTTACTTTAAATTGCATTTAGCCTTGCTTTCCCAAAGGTCAATTCATCCAGGTTGAACTGCAGTTACACATAATTATCATTTCCACTTTTACCTTGTCCACGATGGGAGGCAGCAAGTCTGATTCTGTTGTTTAATAATACAGAAATAAGGCTAAACAATAAAGTCATACAAAAGTTCAAGTCATTCTGTGGTTGTTTCCTGTAATGCACAAAACTGAAACGCAAGCAGTAAAGAAGGAAATTCAAGCGTTAACAGATGTTTAGTCAAGAGTTTTGCAGCTTCTATAGACTCTTTAATTTGAAATGAAGCTCTAGTTTGATGTCTTACAGGGCTTCGTTACCGAAAACATTGATACTACTAATGAGAATATTATTATTAAAAGCATCGTTTTCAGCAGTAACACCTAAAGGTAAAGTTTAATTTCCTTGTCTATGTTGAAGCAGTGTACACTATCCATGGCTATCAATATACAATGTTACTTGCCTTTTATATCACATGCTGGGCCAGTCCAACAGGTTTCACATACACAATTCAGCTCCTTGCAAGAGCCATGATAGCATCTGAAATATACATTAGGCAAGAAGAATGGTCCAGTACCTTTGACTTCCGCATTCGAAGCCTATGGAAAAGAGGAAGACAATTTTATGCTTGGACAGGCCAACAAGTAAGCGAATATCGCATTTTAATAACCAAAGTCCATGTTTCGATAAATGTACAACTTGGGGCTTATAAAGTCATTAATAAGATTTTGTTTGATGCGTCTAGAGATTGGTTTTACTTTAACATTGCCTACCCTTTGAGTCCCATAAGAGTAATTTAGGCGAAATTACGACTCCGCCTTTAGAGGTAGATGTATTTATACGGAGTTGACTTCAGATACGAAAGGGCTTAGATATCGTCAAGGGGATTCTGTTTAGGATTGTGCAAGCTTGGGAGAGTGTACGTTAACCTGAGCTTGTGATAATGACCTATCGATAAGTTCACCGTGTGGTACTCCGTGATTCACGTAGAACAAGGATTGTAGAAAAGGTGTAAAATGTTATTCTGGCAGTCAAAGGTGCCCATGAGTCGATCAAACAAGAGTCAATCAACCAGCCAGTAACTTGCTTTCAAATAAATAAGTAGGTCTTGGCTTTAACTTCCGCAGTCAGTAATCAGTTTGAGTAACTCGAATTTTTACTTTAAAGTAACAGTTCCATGAATAAAATACACGAATTTGTCTTACCGGAAACCGAATAAAGATTGCGGATGAATGATGAATGTTTGATTCTGTGGAGAAGTATGCCATTTTGCAGGCATCAGCAGAGTAAGGAACTATACTTTACGAAATACTGCATCATTATTATATACCAAAGGTATATATAGTATATCGGTGCATATTTTTGTTAACTTTGGTTCCTCGCTCTAAAGTTGTCCGTCATATGACAGACGAAAACTCCGCGTGGGTTCATTGGGTTTACAAGACTATGAGCCGATGTCTTTTTCACATACTCAAGCAGCCTTTACTCAAAATAAATACCTATCGGTTTCCGGTGAGAAAAATTTACGATTTTTTTCATATCTCATTTTACTTTGAGATGAAAACTCATGTCACATTAAATCATTGAGCGAATCTTCTAAAGCCGAATTTGTTTCCTTATGCGAGTTCAAAATTGTCGTCCATCCTGGACAATAAATACTTGAGAAATGTAGATTAGAGTTGAATTCACTTGGAAGCGTAAGCTTTCACGACTTTTTACTTTGCTCCAATCTATAGACATTCTCTGCTGCATCAGGTGACAATGACACAACTACTGGATCTAGCTATAAATAATAGGAGGTATGTACAACATCGGAATCCAACCGATCAAACTCTTGCATCCCATTCTCTTGGGTATGTGCGTAAGCATTGCGTGTCCTTGGTGGAGAAAGAGTCACCAAGATTTGCATTCGGGTTGGCCTGCCAGCAAGGGCATATTTTCTCCTTAAGATGCTTGCGCTTAAGGTCAAATTTACTACCAAACTCTGAACTTTTAGAAC